TTCTTCACGGTAGTTCGTACCGTAATAATTAGGAAATTTATTAAGTTTTTACAATCTTCAGCAATAATTCACGCTAATTTCAGGTGATTTGTTAATGTGTAAGAGTATTCCCCAACCGTAGACTACTCAATTACGAATATGCTGTTTAATTAATCTTCATAGTTAGCACATATTGAATTAGTAATTTCAAATGTAGAAATAGATATTAAGATGTAATTAGTAATTAAATTAATGTAACGTGAAGAGGGTTTTGAATTGGATGGATAAGAACTACAGTAACTATTAGGTATCAATTGCGAATACTATTAACTTACGCAACGCCAATACTTCCCTATTCCAGTAATTTACTAACAATTAAAATAAATTAAAATTTCATTTATAGATAATAATAGTTCGCATAATTAGGCTAAAATTTCAGCTCGTATTATTCTTAAAGGCCTTCATTATTTTCAATGCGTAATTAATCATTATTCATAATGAACCATCTATATCCTATTTCAGATTCGAATATATCTTGCTTAAAGCAAAGACATAGAAATACGCATAAAATTCCCATTTGCATTAAAAGGAGAAAATTTAATTTTGTTGGATTCCTCCCTTCCACTACTTTCCATATCGCCTACGAATGATAACTTAACACTTTTGGATGGTATTAGTTGATGGAATTTCCATATGATAATTTGATGGACTCTGAGTATTTAAAAATTGCTGGTACTCACATCGGTCATTCCATCACGAACATCGACTCAATTTTGTCGATCCACTACTGGTGCAGATTTAGTCAGATGCTGTACTAAGGCCACAACAACAGCATATTTCGGCATGCGCTTCCCTAAATTGACGATAAATGACGGCATAGAGAAAAGGATTGATTGCACTGTTTAAATTATGAAGGTAACCAACCATAAAGATAACCTGATGCGAAACGTGAAACCCAGCCGGTATGATAGTAAATACAACAATACCATAAGGTAAATAGCATATGAGAAAGATAACAGACCGAAATCATAGCTCTGGTAATTTTAATTTCTCTCCTTGCTAAGGTATTTTCAATCAGCCTTGCTAGTACTTATCGATTTTATTTACTTTTAGCATTACGGCCATGTTTATGCATCATCTCAGGAGTGCTTGCTACCGAGTTATTGACTGAAATACCTATTGTGTTGTTGAGATGCTCGCTATGAAATCGATTAAGTATTCTTTTAGCATTTCGAGCAATAACAATGTAGATGACGACGTAACATAATCCAAGTAATATAAACGGAATAATTGTGTCGACAATTAAGGCGAACAAGACATAACTTGCACCGCTAACGGATAACCAATCAAGTAAGCAAGAAAATTTCAGTGGCTGAAAAATATGAAGATTCCAGCCTAAAATTGGCATTAGACAGATGAAAATACTATAAATCCATACGCAGCCAATAATAATTAAAACCACTTTCCTAGTAATCACCTTCCCATATGAATGGACAATAACTAAATAGCGACAAATTGCAATACCTAACAAAGTATATATGGTTATCACATAACATATACTTTGCATGAATCCGCTAAAGCGTCATAACGATTCACCTAATAACCAACCATTGTTGAACCAGTTCATGCTATTACAAGAATTCTTAAATAATCCATTTAATACATCAGTAATAAGTAAATTAAGGATGAAAAGATTACTAGGAATGAGTAAAAGCTCATGATGCTTATGAAAAACGTAGAAGACAACACAGTTACCAATAACAGTAGCAATTACTAATATTAGGTAGGCCAAGCCACGAAAGAGTAAAGTTGTAGATGAAAAGTTCATAACGGTTGCATTACTATGATCATCAAGGCTAGATCCACGTACTGATACTAGAATACTCATTCTTTGATTTAAATCTCAATTTGAACCAGCTTAACCGGAATCCGTGAGATGATATTAGAAGGATTAAGAAATACGGAAAAGCTTATAATAAACAGTGACTGCAATACTTTATCGAAATGATATGTAGTTATAAATAATTTTTAAAGCAGCTTCAAATTAACTTAAGATTATGATTACCAGGTATATAGCCCTTGGTAGTTATCAGGCGAACCCGGCCTACTATATGTAGTAAAGTAAGTTTACTAAAAACTTTGATTCTTGATCTTTCATCGGAAGACCCTTTAATCAAAACTTAATCTGTATGTATATTCAATAATTCAATAAGTATTTATAGGAGCTCTAAAATGATTAATAGAATCATTAATAGCCGTTATGCTTGATATACTGGTATTTGAAATGTGGAATTCGTTTATTCAATCTACTATGTAACATTTTCTGCAAGGATACCGTAGTTTAATACATATCGGTACAAGTATGTATCTATTTTGAGTTCTACTCCGATAACATTTTTAGATTTCTTCACAAATTCAACCGAAATAAAAATATTTCTATAAATCGGCTATGCTGTAATTTTACTTGATTTAGAAAGCTTGAATCTACGAGTATTAATTTTGCCGCAAAGTTATTTTCTGTAAATCTTTCAATTTCCTTTTTATCTGGCGAGGAAAACTACGTTTTGGAATTACAGTATGAATCTATAGCAGTAATGACAGGAAAAAGTAATTTCATAAATTGTCGATCGTCGCTCAGTTATCTAGCTGAAAAATGGCTATATTATCTTTTAAAGAATGATGAAAGGAATATAAAATTAAAAACTTTTTATTACCACATTGCATTGATATACTGCTAATTACTGAGTATTAGTCTACTACATTGAAATTACTGCCGGTAGTGCGGTAATTAGCGTCGACTTTTTAGCACTTTGATCAGCTTAAACAAGATCAATATTGTTGTGTATATAAATATATTAAATTCTTAACATAACAAATCTGGCGATCGTTTCACTCAGATTCATGATGATAGTTTACTCTAGTGCTTATGATCCTGTAAACTTTCGATTTTTCAGATTAAAATGTTATTAAAATTTGCTAAGCCATAGCGATAATGGGACAAAAATTTAACCTCCTTTTATCATTTTACCGTATGTAAACTCTTTAAATTAACCATAACTTGATTGCGATCATATATTTACACTACTATATAATCTTGAAATTAAGTGATGTTGAAGCACTTTTAGAACAATGAAGTATTAAATTAAAAAAGCTTATAATATTATAATCAAGAAATTTAATTCGAAGTGAGAGGAAATATTGATATTTTATTAGTCTTACTTGCAGTTGATTTTCAACTTGATATTAAGGTGGAATGTTCAATTAAATCTGTTCCTGTTATCATTACATAGGAATAACAAATTTTTTACTCAGATGTCTTAAATGATAGAAAGGAAAATGCTGGTTAAAAAAACTTTTAGAATAGAAAGCTAAAGCTTTGTAATGACTATAATATTTGATTGTAAGAGGGAACAGATGTCACATTGTTGGTAAAATAATAACTTTGATTAAGCCGATGACGAAGATAATGATTGATTTCGTGATTTATGTAGAATTAGCGATTTTAGCTGATGGTATTATATCTATTGACTAGATGGAAATAAATTGAATAAAAAGGTAAAATACTTATGGCAATTAAATGTACTATTGTAGTGATGAATACTTTTTGGTAAAAAATTTTAATAACAAATACAAGATAGCATACCCTGTTATAGGTGAAATCGTGCAGACCATAACACTGTTTGACCATAACAAATATCCTCATGGTAAACTTAATATTCAGACAAGATTTACAAAACATTTTCTTGCTATGATTAATACACAATAACGTTTTCTTTTCGTAAATTCTTTGTCATTTATATCAACGAATCATGAAATCTACATAACATTGAATTAATAATATGATAATTTGTCTAAAATCAGATCGTATGAAAGGTTACAAGGGAAATGTCCAACTATTTAAATCAGAAAATGTCTAATATTATATAGGAAATATGCGTAAACAAGATCAATAATATTATATATAGATGATCTTTCATCATAATAATATTACGAAAGTAGAAATTTGGGAAGAAATACTGCAATTGTGTTTAGTATTATATCTACTCTTGGATGATAAAATTATTTCAACGTATTTCGAAAGTGATATTTGCTGTCTTTTTAAACCTAAAATAAGACAATATTCATTCTATAAATCAGTGGATAATCTAACGCAATCTGAAGTTGGGTGTTTCAATTCTATTGCCTGAAATAAAAGGAAAGAACAGCTAATTTACTGCAGAAGTGTGCTATTGAGATATGTGATTTAATTAGCCATGAATAACAAAATTTGAACTAGTTAATCAAGTTTCCATTTTCTTAAGCAGTAACTCATGCTAATTACGAGTGCGTTGTTAATATTTATTCGTATTCCTCTATCAAAGCCTACCTAGGTACTAAATATTTGGTGGTGATTGTAGTAGAGGCCACATTAATATTCCATATTACTTAGCACGTATTGAATTAATAATTTCAAGTGTGATAGAAAAGGTATCAAGAAGTCTTTGGTAATTAGATTAACACAAGGTAAAGAGAATTTTAAATGGATTGATAGGAGCTACAGTAACTACAATGCAGCAATTGCTAATATTGCAGATTACTCAACACCATTGCTCTGCTATTCCATTAATTCACGGATAATTAAAATGAACAAAAATTTCACCTAGATCATGGCTAGTATATTTCCAGTCTCATGATACTTTGCGTATTTGTTTACTAAGTAGAACAGTTAACTATATTGCTGCTGTACGCTGTACAATCTATGCTAAATAATAATAAGGTTCATTAGACAATAACAAAGAAGCAGCCATGAAACTCTAAACTAAATTAAATGGAGAAAATTTTAATTTCTTTAAATTGCTTCCTAGCGCGCATCGCCTGAGAATACTAACTTAACAATTTGCATGTTATCATGAGTTTAGAACATTATTTCAATAGAAGATACTCGTCTATGAAATTCCATAAACACCCTCAAGTATATTTCGAGTTACAATACATCATGATGAACGTGGCTATAGAATTCGACCGCTAGTCATCCTTAGTACTCAAAGATTACTGGTGCTAGCATCGGTCATTCCATCACGAAGAACATCGACTCGATTTTTTCGATCTATTATTGGCGTAGAATTAAGAAGATGTCGATGCCGACTTCGACTAGTGGGAAACTTTACAGACACTGCACTAAGGCCACAACAACAGAACAGTTCGATATACGCTTTCCTAAATTGGCGATAAATGACTCCATAGAAAAATGGATTGATCGCACTGTTTACATTAACAAGGTACCCAACCATAAAAATAATATTATGTGAAACGTTGCCACCAGCTGGTGCGATAATAAATATAGTAAGAGCGTAAGGCAAATAACATGCAAGGAAGATAACATAGACTGAAAACATGGCTCTTGTAATTTTAACTTCTTTTCTTCCTAAAGTATTCCCATTTGACCATTTTGCTCGTGCTTGTCGATTTCGATCATTTTCAGGGGTGTTTGCTACTGAGTAATCGACTGAATTGCCTATTGAAGGAATAACGTTGTTGGAATGCTCGATATGGAATCGATTAGCCATTCTTTTAGCATTTCGAGCAATAACGATATAGATGACGATGTAACATAATCCAATTAATATCGACGGAATAATTGTGTCGGCAATTAAAGCGAACATGACATAACTTGCACCGCTAACGGATAACCAATCAGGTAAGCAAGAAAATTCCAGTGGCTGAAAAATGTAACGATTCCAACCAAAAATTGGCATTAGAGAATCCAAAATACTATAAATCCATATGCAACCAATAATAATTAAAACTACTTTCCTCGTAATCACCTTTCCATACGAATGGACGATAACCAAGTAACGACAAATTCCAGTAGCCAACAAAGTAAATATGGTTACTACATAGCAAATAGTTTGCATAAATCCATTAAAGCGGCATAACGGCTCACCAAATGTCCAGCCATTATTCAGCCAGCTCACGCCATTAAAAGTATCCCTAAATAGTCCATTTAACAAATCGATAATAGCCAAATTAAGGATAAAAAGATTGCTAGGAATGCGTAAAAGGGAACGATGCTTATGAAAAACATAGAGGACAATGCAGTTACTAATAACCGTAGCAATTGCTAATATTATATATGCCAAGCCACGAGCCAGTAAAATTGCAGGTGA